CTTCTTGTTCCTAGTAGTAAGGCCAGGAGCCCCTAGTAGCGTTCTTGCTACTAGTAGCGATGCCAGGAGCCCCTAGTCACTTCTTGTTCCTAGTAGTAAGGCCAGGAGCCCCTAGTAGCTTCTTGTTGGTTCCAATCGCAATTGCAAAGACTATAGGGAACACATGTTTGCCGTTGGGTCAGAAGATTAACTTTTCAGGGAGCGAGGAGCGAGGTGTGAAACGCTGTAGTTTCGCCGAAACGGCACGATTCAGTCGGAGTCGGAGGGTTCAAGAACAGGTTGACCAAACCTAGGAGGTTCCACATCATCGAGGGGTACCGTACCGTATGGTATTACATAATTTCTTGGTTGAGAAGGCATCCTCAGTCAACCCTGACAGCCAGGTGAAATCAAAGAAGAGCATCTCAGGCATCCGCAACATAAACCGACCGAATGTTTGGCAAGTGGGCTGCTTGTACACGGTTGATAAAATATTCCTTTTTGTTGAACCTATCAAGGAGCTTCAAGTTAACTCATACGCTGGATGAGACTCAACATTCAACATGTCCTCCTGTGTGTCCCAGTACAAGCCCTGCTAGATCCACTGTACTCCAAAGCCTGTTCGAGTGGAAGCACTTGCAAAGCAAATCATTATCAGCCTACCCAGAACCACCTGCAGACCTGGTCTTGGAATTGCGTATTTGTCTGCAAAAGAAGATCAGGGACCTCTGCATACTAGGAACAAGTGCATCGCTACTAGTAACAATGGCATCGCTACTAGTAGCTGCAGCTTCTTGTTACTAGTAGTATATAGTGCCCTTGTTACTAGTAGTGATGCACTTGTTACTCCCGGACAACGTTCGCTCCGCCGCTCATAAGGACAACAGCCACCTGTGTGTCCATAGTCATCGGCAGCCTCGGTGCACTGGACTCAGCTGGGATCAGCTGTGTTCTTTTTAAGACTGAAGGAGGAGCCCCTAGTAGCGTCCTTGCTCCTAGTAGCGATGCCGGTTGTTCCTAGTAGCTTCTTGCTCCTAGTAGTAAGGCCAGGAGCCCCTAGTAGCGTCCTTGCTCCTAGGGACTGGGAAGAAAGATTCACCTTCTGACGCTATGCACACAGCCGTGTGAGCTAGCACTTTCTTTCACCTATCCTTCACACACACATGCTTCCATGAGCTCGGGAACTATCCTTTACACTCATCCCCCGGCACACCTGCAAGTGTGTGCTCCAAGCAATTGGGGAATACACGCAATCCATGTGTTTGTCTTGCAAGCTCTCCCCACATAAGAGACCGTCATTAGAGATCTCTTTGCTTCTGACATGTGGAGAGCTGCACTACGGTTCACAAACGCCACACTCAAAGGCCTAAGTCCGAATACTCACAGACCTCCGAATGAATTCGAAAGATTCACGGGCCCAGGAGATCTGGAGACCAACGACCCAACTGGATCTGCTGTGCCTCACCTCACCCAACGCAGCAAACCCTCTCGTCTCTCCCACGCGACTTTTCAGAGCTTCATCAGCACAAGGAGTCACCAAAGCTACTCGGGCAGCACTGCAAGATGTTGTGAACACAACTTCTCTACACCACCAAGAACTTAGCTTGAACATAGGGGTACCCCTGTCACATTTTGGTTCCTTCATGTTCCTTCATCTCTTTTGGCTTGCAACCCACCAATCTGGACCAAGATTGCTATCGACACACGATGGGTGGAATTTACGATGACGAACAACTTAGTCCTTTTTTGTCTGGGTTTTGCCGGCTAATCTTGGCTTGCGAGGCCCACTACAAACTCACCAAAGAAATCGGATGATGAATGCGGGTACAGCTCTAGATGTCTGAATGAACAGTTGTAGTACATACTCAAGGCTACCCCTGGTAGCCTTGTGACTGGGTGCAAGCTTAAGGGGCAAACATAGTCATGATGATCTTGAACGATCTTCCTTTTGGTGAGGGTACTTCATTTTCGAACCATCCCGACGTTTCGACAAGGTTGCCAACTAGTGTGTTCCGCTGGGCGACTCTACTTGGGAAATTTCTGTTGGACAGAAGGAACCAAACACAGAAAAGTCCTTCTTGCTACTAGTAGTAATGGCCTCAAACCTAATAGCGATGGCCTCCACCGAGCGTAGCGTCCTTGCTTTGCTTGTAGCTTCTTGTTACTCTAAAGGAAACCAAAGACTGGGTCAATGCTGAGTGGATCGATGCTGAGTGAGGCCGGAGCAAACCCTACGCTATCTCAGCTTCCTTCCGAAACCTCTAGAGTCTAACCCGATTCCGGAAAGGTCGATCCGAGTCGACAGGTGAACCGTGTAGATTGTAGATCCTGGCAACATGGAAAACATATGAAAACATGCAATGCCAACCGAAGACTGGCAATCTTCAATGCCTCTCTCTCCTCCAAATTTTAAACATGAACCATATGTGTTACACAAGGCTGGATGCAAAGCAACATGCACCTGAAGGGCGTTGGATTGGCATTTGCAGTAGGTGCGTTCAGAATTGAACAAAAAACTACGTGAGTCAGGCCATTCGGACGACAATGTTCATTGAACAACATAAGGAGGAAGACAAATCTGTGCTGTATGACAAGTCTTGGTCATGCTTCCAGTTATGTTGATGATATTATGAAGCTGCAGTCAATACCATGCATTAAGACTAATGTGTCATGATGTCATGGTTGAAGGCAAAGGGACACAGACCGGTTCGAACATTGGTGCGCTCACAGGGAGAGCCAACAAAACCCATTGAAGAACAGCTATTCCACCAGCTTTAGCATACTTTAGCCTTTAGCCCTTGAAGATCTATCATAATCTGTCCACCATCATTCACCATCATCCTTCGGTGTTTCCACGTCTACGGAGTCTACAGCTGCATCAAGCAGCTGCCCGCTGCATCGCTCAGTCGAGGCCCGTCCCCGTCAGGCCCGTCACATCGCTGTCGAAGGGCCTTGCGGCAAGCTCCAGCGCCTCGTCCCACCAGGGATAGGCCGGTTCCTGGAGCATGTGGAGCACCCGTGGCCGGCAGCTACAGTAGCGATGTCCTTTGTTCCTAGTAAGGCCAGGAGCCCCGAACGTAGCGTCCTTGCTCCGTTCGTAGCGATGCCCTTTGTTACCGGTAGTATGACATTTACATCACTTTTAAGTTCAGGTGATATCCTATGCGGATTGAAAATAAATTGGCCTCTGTGATTGGTCTTTCAGGATGTTTGTTTGCACGCTTGGTACCTGTCAATCGGAGTCTGATAAGTTGAACAGCCCACGAGGTGCAAATCATCGCAGCTGGTCGGGTAGTGGACATCATGACTTGTCAAGACTCTGCGTGCAAGCCCGCTCCGAGGTGCAAATCCATCTCAGTGGGCCATCTGTGGGGGACCAGTGGTGGGACCAGTTGCACAACTTAAGACGACCGACTCAACTAGCACCAGCATTCCATCCGGTCCAATCCTGGGGCCGCAGGGTTGTTCCCTTGCTTCTACTGAAAGCAGCTTGTTGATCTTCTACTCAACGATAACTTCTGAATCACTTATATAGCAAACTCAGCTTTTCTGTTTGAGAAAGAAACACATTTCCCAAACACTCCTGGTAGAATAAACATGGACTAAAACATTAAACCTACAGTATAGCCTACCGCGAGTGTTTCTAGCATTGAACACATGCACCAAACAAACACGGGCGAGAGGAGGCCTTCCCATTGAAGACAAACCGGGCTCTGCTCGACACTGTGCCCAACAAACAGCTGAGGTCTAGCACCTGAATGCGACAGTGATTGAGCTGCACGTCTTTGGCATGTGCTCGCATGACCTCATCAAGTCGATTTTTCACTGCGAGGAGTGTTTGTTGGAGCTCCAACCAACAGCTCTGGAGGATGAGGTATTTCCCCTTCGGTCTTGCCTGTTCAAACAGGTGGCCCTGTAGACACAGGTACAAAACAACTCGTTTGTTTGGAGAAGAGGAAGCATGAGGAAGCTATTGGCTCTGGATAAGCAAAGTATATAAGTCCGTTCTAAGTCTGCTTGACTATGACCTGCTCTTTTGCGCTGCATTGCATGAACCTCATTTGGGCCAATGCTCCCATTTGTATGCACTAACCATCTTCGCGGCCAGGTACATGAACAATGTTCTCCAGAAACATGCAACAAACATGCATCGAAGTGAACTCAAAGGGTTCTTGTAGAGAACATCCATAGCGAATCATTCGGTACACGTGAGCCATCTTCGATTGAAACTGGACCATGAATGCTACTTTGCCCGTAATCACTGGCAACAGAATTGCGAACTGCGTTTTGTTTGCCGCAGCATTGCCTCGCAAATCTCAAGCAACATATGAATGGAAGCACTTCGCTCATTTGGGTCATTTCATCCATTTGGTTTGATTGTGCAGTTTTTCCAAGGGCGTCTTGTTTTAGATGTTTTAGGACACTCGTATCTACGTTGCTGATGGTGTTTCTCCGCACCCAAAGGCATCTTTTTGCGCAGCTCTTCACTCCACAACTTCAGTCATCCCGGTCACTCCCCACAATCAACAGCGCTCTTCTGCCTAGTGGCGTCGACTGCCTGGCAAATTAGGAGGCTGGGGGGGAGAGAGCAGCGATGACGCTCTGGCCTTACTCATCATCTGACATAGACTGACAAGAGGCATGCTACTAAGTTTGTTGAGTCTTTCCATCTATTGTTTCTTGAGGAACATGTCCCTGTCACAAAAGTGGACATGCATTTGTGGTGCAAAAAGCAACCCGGCAGATCGCCTTGTTGCAGACCATTGCCAATGAGAGTGACAACTGGGGAGAGTTTGAACTGAGGGCTTTCTCCGCTAGGCGAGAAACTCTGCAAATTCTAGTTTGAGGGAGGATGAAAGAAGCCATGGACTCACTATTCAAAATTACTTAATACATTTTAATACTATACATGTCGTTCTATATCAATATCACCCGACTTTTCAACCACTCGAAATTCTGCATCCCAAACTTCGAAGCACGCGCCATGCAACGACAAGGCAACTAATATAGTCTGCTTCTCCATCAATACATTGGAACTTGAGTATCCTTGGCCCGCGATTGAGTACGTTGTCGGTCCTCGCTCTGCCCGCGCACCTTGCCAGCGATGTCGGCACAGGCGCCCTCCGCACATTTCAGCATGTCGTTCCCAGAACTTTTGCGCCCCTGCCATTGTGAGCGAGCTTCGCGAATGAAGGTCTAGGGCGTTGCCTGCAATATCTGCAATTGGGATCCCTGTCAGGATTCTTCATGATGATGTAGGATTATGTAGACACTTTATCTCCCTGAGAAAGCGAACACGTCGCATTGACTGGCAAGTCTGCCCAAACAATTGAAGCAATCATTCCAATTGACTTTACAAGTTGACGGTTTGACTCATCGATTGACGTTCGCGCATCCCCAAGTCTCCGGGATGATCCGGTGATCCCTGGGGCCCATTTTCATCCACCATGGATCGTGAATTTGGTTCAAAGATTCCTCCTCCAGCTTCTATCCAAACGTGAACAATCCAGTCCACCGGCCATTGAAGCGTTAGCAACCAGATTTGCACATCCACACCTGCTCCAGCAGGCTTTGATATCGCTCCTCCAGGCGCTTCACCTTAAAACATCGACGGTTATGGCGAGCTTCGCACGAGCTCGCTTCGCACCTCCAGGGTTGAAGGATATCACTGACCCGGCATGTCACCCCGGTCGTGTAGTTTTCGATCCAAACTGGTGAAACCTGGGAGATCAATGCCTTGAACCTGAGTGAGATGGTGCGGAACACCTATACATGGGCTAGCGTTGTTGCAGATTTCAAGAGCGCCTGATTCACCACGATCAAACCATTCATGGTGATGTTCAAGACCCCTAAACGAGAATGATATAGAGCACCCTAGGTGGACCTAGTCTTGAGACTCACAGTCCCAGATCCATACCTGTTGTTCACTATAGGTGGCCTTCTCAATCAGCACATGTTGTCAAATAGTGCTTGGGTGGATGGTGATTGAACATGTCATCCACGGCTTCTTACCAAAGCTTAGTGAACTTTACTCAGCTCGGTGGCAAACGATTCAATTCCTTCTCCACGCATTCTGTTCTGGTGTCTTTGTGGACAGCTCACCGGAATTCACTCGCCCCCGTGATCCCCCGTCCCGTCTGCACCTCTTCGGGGAAGCTTTGAGCCAAGTCCACCTCTTCACCGGGGTCGCTCCTGGCCCAACGTGCAGGAAGAAGGTGGCACTTCTTAATAGTATCTGGGTGATTGCTGGTAGACGAGGCCACAAAAAGGATCGTATAATTGTGATGCCTCATGACTCATGATGCTTGAATAACTTCGCTGTCTGCATTTTCGGCTAGCAGGCACCAGGGAGGACCTGAACACTTATCATTTTCTACCCAATGTCTATAGTCGAGGACAACCAGTCGAGCTGTCTTCCCCCAGGGATCGATCGGTGAGCTGCGGCGTTCCGCGTGCGTCCAGAGTCGTTTCAATTCTTTGAGGATGGGACGTACCTATTGTCTCTGACCAATTCTTCGGTTGTAGTTTGACTTCTGAAAGAGTTCCAAACATGGACACATCGAAACATGATCATGGATGACCCTCAAAACCAAGCATGAACTGCAAGTGGCCAAGGTCAAAATTCCATATCGAAAACCTCTGCAAACACCAGCTTAGGCGGCTGATCGAAAAACATTGCTAAGACCACGGGGTTGTGGTTGAAAGCTGTCGTCCTCTTCGTGGGTTGGGTGGGGGTTTGATTCTTCGTCAAACCCATCCGTGAATTTGATGGATCGGATGGTTGCACCTGATGTTGTAAAGCTTCCAATGCTCGGCTTTGGTCCATTTGGATCCCGAGGGGTTCACATCGAAGACCGACCTGAGCGATCTGTAAATCGAACTTGGATATCAAAGACCATTCACTTGCACAGTTGATCAGCGTCTGTTCAGTTCGGCCACCATTGGTCAGTACCAAAACCTTTAGAATACTACCACCCATCTAGATTTGGTGGTTGAAGAAGTCGAAACCAAACCTAGGAGCTTGTGCAGGCTGTACTTTCCAACCGCAAGATTACGCCTGACTTTTGGACATCTGCCTGAGTTCTCCAGAGTTTGGGGATTCGACCGAATACTGCTTTGAGCAATCTATGTGTCAGTCAGTTTGGAGCTCTCAGAACTGCACACTTCATATCCATCCCAAATTGAAATCAAACCGTACTAAGCCAATGAAATATGATTCGTAAATAATTACATCGCCTCAATCATCCCCAAAAGAGCTCCCATTTCATGTTTGCACGATTTTGGAAAACCTCAGGTAGGCCTAGTTCCTTTCACTTGAGATCCCCCTTGTGGAGGTCTCTGGGGTGAGGGATTTGATTTTATAAAGAACAGTCATTTATAAAATGGAATCCCTCAGGCTGCTGCTTTATAAAATCAGAACCCGACCTTTTTATATAATGGCGAGACAACATACAAGAGCAAAAAACATGAAAATCCGCAGACGCCTTTTTCTCCCTATGGAATGGCTTTCCATGAACCGGTGATCATTTTGATCCGAAAATGGTCCATGTTTATGGAATGCTCAACCAACATCTTGCTGTGGTTGTGTCCACTATACGCACTATAAGTCTAAAGCCATGGGAGCCTGCATGGGACTATCACACTATAACGAGCCATTTGTGGTATGGCAAATCCTATGTAGGACTAGTTTCTGTTAACTCTTTTTGAAGAAGAAGAATTCACTCACAACATCTCAAAAGAATGAAAGTCAACTTTAATATCAAAACAAGGGAGCAACTGTGCAATTTAAGACTAGTGATAGCAACCGAATCAAAACGTTTCCATCCATTTCCCATCATTTCCCCTGCCAAAGACAATGCACAACTTGAATGTGGCACATGGTGAATGCTCAGGTTTTGATCAGCACACAAAATCATGTCAAAATGTTCAATGAACATCAATGAACATATTTATGTGTGCGGTGTTTTTCCTTTTGGCATTGTTGTGTTTCACATGTTTTTGCTTGCAAGTTTGTTGAGATGATTGCATTCGGTTGCTATCACTTGTCTTAAATTGCACAGTTGCTTCTATGTTTTAAAAAATAGAGTTGACTTTCATTCTTTTGAGATGTTTTGAGTGTGATTCTTCTTCAAACAGAATTCACAGAAACTAGTTCTGCATAGGATTTACCTACAGGGAGCCTATAGCCACTATACGGCTATATCATAAATGGCTCATTCTGGTGTGATAGGCCCATGCAAACCCAGGTATGTACTAGAAACCTTGGTTGTAGAGCCACTATTGTAAGGGAGCCAACCACAGCGCAAAAAAAAGTGACCCAAAACGCGGAGGTTGGATCGTCTCATTTTATAAACCTCACCCTGCCCATCGTATTTGTGCACACCCTCCCAGGGAAAAGATGGTAAACCAATTTTATAAACATTTTCACCTCCCAAAGCCCATCGTATTTGTGCACA